GATGACAGGGTATGTTTTGTCATTGTCCTGGGGATATGATGGCACCAGGATGTACTATAGAAAAAGAACCAGCTTGTTGTTATAGTCTGAGAGTTTGGGCTTTGTCCATTAACAGCAAAAATCTAATGGTAGTGACTATATGAAAAAGTGTTTTCTAGCTTAAAATTTGTTCTATCTAATAGTATTATTGTGCTCCATTTATCTGTTGTTGTCTCTGAGGAAATAAATTGGAGGCATTACTTTCAGAGCCAATATATATATATATATATATATATTTTAAAGAAAAACAGACCACTTTAAGGTTCCATTATAATAATTTATTTCACCAGACCCCTTTTAAAGGACTCCGGATCATCAGATAGCACTTCCAAAAATGAAATGAAAGGGCTCTAGTGAAATAAATTATTATAATGGAATCTTAAAGTGGTCTGTTTTTCTTTAAAATATTAGCTCTGGATTTACATTGAGCTCTCAGGATTTCATCCTCCTTGGGATTACCTATATGGATTACCAAGTTTTTCATAACTTAAATATATATATATATATATATATATATATATATATATATATATATATATATATATAGTTTTAAGGTGTGCTATATTTATGGGATAAAGTGCTCAATATCAGAGATAGAGCATATGTAAATATAAAAGTGAACATTGAAGTCAACACTCAGAGGCAACAGGCTGTTTCATGCTAGATGCAATCATCAGACTGTGAGTGTTGTTTTTTTTCTCAACTATATATATATATATATATATATATATATATATATATATATATGGGTCAGTGGCACATTGGGTAGTCTGTTATGGTGGAAATGGTTTGTTTATTTATTTGTGTTAATTTATTTTACTCGTTTTTATTTATTTTCATTTTTTATTTTATATATTTTTCTTTTAGTTTTCAATGTTTTATTAACATAGTAAAAGATTTTAGGGGGATTTGCTTAGGTCACTTTTTAATAGTTTGTTTTGGTCTGGGAAGATAAAGCTATTTATTCATTCAACTTTTGCATTGATTGCTGTAATTTCTTGTTATTTTGGCCGGGGCAGTTTTTAATTTGTTTATTATTTTATTTATTTGCATTGATTATTTTTACTTGTTTCTGCTTATTTATTTTTATTTTATTATTATTATTTATTACTTTTTCTTCATTATCTGTTGATTTTACCATGGCTTGGTATATTACATGGTTTTGTAAGCAATTACCATTTAAGGGACATTCATTCTTTATTCTACAGTTGCACGTGGGTTTAATTTGTTTGGGTGGTTTGTTGATAGTTTTCCTGTTGAGCTTTTTTATTATTATTGCCATGTTCTCAGTGCAACTATAGCTGATTTTTACTGTCTTTTTGTTGAATATTTTGTGTAGAGTGCTTGATTCTGGGAAGTGTTTGTGTAAGAGTTTGAAGAATATTTTACCTACATTTGTTTTTACACTTTTGCTGTATGGTGGGTTGAACCATATGATATTTCTCTTCCTGTTGGCCTTTTTGTGCTCTGTGGTGAGTATGTGAGTGTTGTCTGGAATCCACCATCTTTTAGGGCTGTTTTGTAGTCTTTCTTAGCTTCGTTAAATATAGTTTCATTGGAAGAAGTGTTGGAAAGCCTGTGGTTAATCAATTTTGGTATCTGTCTGATTATTGAAGGTAGGTGATTGGAACATGTGTATATACAGTAGTTTATCATTGGGTTTTCTGTATAGTTTATATGTGCCTTTTCTTAGGCTGAAGGTAACATCTAGAAAATCTGCTTCATTTAAGTTAGTTTTTATATCTATGTTGAATCTGTTATTTTTGAAAGTCTTTATTATTGCTTCATCCCTGTAGAGTCCTGTATCATTTTTATCTATTATTTTGCTTAGTTCTTGTAGTAAATATATACCTATGATTTCACAGGTCTCTGGACTGTCAAAGCTTCCATTGTAGTGTCAAAGATGCCTTCTTTCTTTATCCATGCATCTTCATTGTGGAATAGTAGTGATTTACAGGAGTGTTTAATGATATTAATTTTGTTTGTGTTATTTTTATTTGTTCCTGGGATAAGGTGATGGCCTTATCTAGCATGGGTTCTGTTATAGATGGATAAAATTATTTTATGTCTAATTGTATAAATTGGCAATTATGTTTGTTATTTATGTTGTGGAACCAATCAGTAGTTGCTTTTTTGTTTTTCCACTGGTTTACTCCTAACTTCTTCCTTCGTTTTACTTATTTTATCTAGTTCAATTTTGGTTTATGAGTCTGCATGCAGGTTTGATTTTGAAATTTTCTTTGTGGTCTTTTAGTGTGATAAAGGTTTGCGCCTTACTGATGCAACTTACTTGGTCATCTAGGTCTAAATTTTGGGCGATTGCTTTAGCTCCCTTATTGATATCATGTTCTATTGTTTTTGGTGCTTTTTTTGTATGTTTTGGTTATGTTCTAGATTAATTTATTGTGTGTAGGGGGGGTGCTTAGTTCATATAAAGTTCTTGTTTTGTCCGCTGCAATAAATATGTTTGTTGAATTGTTTATTTTAGTTATATCTTCCTCCTTTAGTTTTTTTTTTAAATGAACCTTGTTTTTTTATGGAATTTTATTCTAGATCATTTAAGTCTTTCTTGAAGTTGTCTAATTCTTTTTGTTGCGGGGGGCATTTTTTGGTTTTAAAGTCATATTTTTCCTTAAGTATAGTATTATTGTGAAGGTCCTGGTTTAAAAAGAAATGGGCTTTCCATCTTATTCTTTTTATGAAGCTTTTTGTTTTTTCAATTAATTTTAGCTTATATGTGGATGGAGATGGAGTGGGTGTGTTTTTAGGGAGTAGTCTAGGCTAAATTTTTCTATGTACATAATGTGTTAGAAATGTAGTGAAAGTGCTCTACTATTTATCTGGAGCTGAATATGAAGAAATATAGTTTTAAGGTATGCTCTATTTATGGGATAAAATGCTCAATATCAGAGACAGAGCGTATGTAAATATAAAAGTGAACATTGAAGTCAACACCCAGAGGCAACAGGCTCTTTCATGCTCGATGTAATCGTCAGACTATGAGTGTTGTGTTTTTTCTTGACTATTTACATATATATATGGATCAGTGGTGTATTGTGGGTAGTCACACACACACACACACACACACACACACACACACACACACACACACACATATATGTGTGTGTGTGTGTATGTATTAAGTTTGCAATTATTTAATATATTTTCTGATTATACATGTTTTAATAGATACAATTTATTCAAGTAAATGCTCTGTTTTTTTAAATAAACAGTATTAATTACATTTACTGGCCTGAATGTTTGAGAAATTTTCTAGAAAATATATGCTTCTTCAATAGGAATTGAAACTGTAACCCCAATGTGAACCATCATTTGACCTGATGTGCTGTTAATCATTCAACCACAAAGAAGCATTTTATTAGCAAAGTCCAAATTACTGTTTATAAGCAACAAACCTTTGACAATTTTTCCCAAATAATCACATCTGCTCATGAAACTTACCTGAACGTAAATGTTGACAACATATGAAATGGATTAAGTCTGACAATTATTTCATATATTTTCTGTTTATACTTTATTTTAATAGATACAATTTATTTAATTAAATGCTCTGTTTTTTAAATAAACAGTATTAATTACATTTACTAGCCTGTATATTCGAGAATGTTGAATGGTTAACAGAACATCAGCACAAATAATGATACCCATTGGGGTTACAAGTTCAATTCCTGTTGGAGAAGGACATATTTTCTACAACATTTCTCAAACATTCGGGCTTGTAAATGTAATTAGTATTGTTTATTTAAAAAAAGAGAGCATTTGGTTAAATAAATTGTATCTATTAAAATAACATATAAACATAAAATATATTAAATAATTCTTGGATTTAATTCATATCATAGCATGTTGTCAATGTTTACATTAAGGTATGCTTCATGAGCAGGTATGATCATTTGGGAAAGTTTGTTGAAAATTTGTTGTTTATAAACAGTAATTTGGACTTTGCTAACCAGATGCATCTTTGTGGTTGAATGGTTAACAGCACATCAGATCAAATGATGGTTCCCATTGCGGCTACAGATTTGATTCCTGTCAGAAAAGCACATATTTTCTACAAAATTTCTCAAACATTCAGGCTGGTAAATGTAATTAATACTGTTTATTTAAAAAACGGAGCATTTACTTAAATAAATTGTATGTATTAAAATAATGCATAAACAGAAAATATATATATATATTTTTGATATCTGTTAAGCAGTATGTGTGTTAAAAACATTTAGTGATAACTTCTGAAATATATAGATATGGCTAAAAAAAATAGATAAATACAAACAGTGGCTATAATTTTTCTTTACTTCTACTGGAATACAATATCATTAAAACACATACATATGCGCGCACACACACACACACAAAAATCAACCTAAAACCAATAATAAGAGCATCCCAATTAACACATAAATTAATTACTCAAAATTAGTATAAAAAAAGGCTAAAAACAGCAGTCAGTTGCTGAAAACCTTCTGTAGGTGGGACTTCCAATCAGCCATATTAGGTAATGTATACACCAAGGTTCATGAGTTTAGGACAGGTTTACAAGATGTTTACAATGCCTTCAAAGAACTGTATGATAAAAAGTGCATGTGGCTCAAGAGTTAAACTGTTATATTTCAATCATTCCATATCAGCCAATGAAAATTGACCTTAAAGCTCAAAGCAAGTGGATGATAGTTATTTTATGTAAGTTTGAGAATGATTAAAAATTTTCTCATATGAATTCATTGTAATTGCTTCTTTTTTTTATTGCATTTTGGATATCAGTAACTGAGGATGTACCTGTATGAGTATTGGTTTTTGAAAAGAAACTGAAGGGGCAAAAATTGAGCTTTTGAAACATAGGTAATTCCTGTACCTGTATAAAAACATATTTTTTAATGTTTTTAATTTTATTATGCAGTCTTTTGTTGCCTCTTTTGCAGAAAACTGAGCAAGCTGCATTAATGATGGCAGAAGATGATGACATGTTTCCTCCAGATGCTGCCTTCTCCAGCACCAACTCATCCATAGACAGTCTTAGTGACAGTGGATCAGATACAGAAGCAGAGGGGGAAGCAGACTTGGAATCCCAGAAAAATGACCTCACCATTATCAGCTCTCAGCATTTGAGTCTCGTGGATGATGATGTCCCTCTGCTGGTGCCCCACCATGAAGAACTGTTTGGAGAGATTGATGGTATGGAACTTTATCAATATCAGGACCAGCTTTCTTCCTTATCTCTTTCTTTCTTTCAGAATTTTATGTCCAAAATTGTAGATACTAGAAATAAGTAATAGGCTTTCAAAAATATGCATTTAAATTAATTTTTTTTTTTTTGCTTGCCTGTAACTGTATAATAGACCTTTTCTGTTTCTGAGTAAGGATTACATTAATTATGAAATATTCAAACTGAGTAATATGGAATCTATGAAAAATAGTTGGGTGTTTAATTTTTTTTTTATTCTGTTGCTAAAATTTCTGTTATAATTCACTCTTAGTGGTTATAATATTATGTCTTGCTTAGTTTACTCACCGTGATGTCATTAGAATTCTTCCTGACTCCAACAGACCTCTCCTGAGTTCTTTATTTAAGGCGTTTTGTCTAGTTCATTTTTGTTACTGGGAGTGTCTTATTTACTCTACAAAATACCCTGCTTTTGAGACTCCCCCCTCACTTGTAAATATTTTATTTCTTAGTATTCACCCCCTCTTCTTTCTGGTGAGTTCGCCAACATACTGAACTTTGAATTTCTTTCATTTTGGGACAACCTCTAGTTTTTCCATACATTTCCTTTTTCTGCCAATCTTACTTATATGTTCAGTGAATTCTTGGGGTGTTGGTGACGTCAAAATATCATACAGATTCTTCCTTTCTTATGGACTTTTCTTCAGTAAACATTCTAATGCTTTTTGTGTTCCATTTTTTTCCTTTTATCATATATACCATTTTTTCCAATTCGTGAACTTATTACGGCATCTTCCCAAATTTCTTTTCCATTTTTACATACTCTGAAAAACACTTTTTCACCAATTTTGAAAAATTTTGTGTCTTTTTTGTTATCTGTTCTTATTCTTTCTTGATCTGGTAACAACTTGTTGAACACCGATTTAATTTTTCTTGTGAACATCAATTCTGCCGGTGACATGCCTGTGGGCGTATTGGGATTTGGGATTCTTGAGAGTATACTGTATACTCTCAAGAATTTTTGTAATGCTTCTTTGCTCACTTTTTCATTACTTGCTTTTTTTAAAGCTCTCTTAAAAGTTCCCACAAACCTTTCAGCTTGTCTGTTTGACCTTGGGTGATACAGCAAGGTAGTAACATGTTCAATCGAAAACATTTTACAAAATTCTTTTATTTTGCAAGTAGCGAATTATGTACTGTTATCCGAGACTATGGCATCTGGAATGCCATATCTTGCAAATAGTTTGTGTAAAATAATTCACTATAACCATAGAACTTGTTTTTTGCACTTACAAATGTCATGCCACTTAGTAAAGCTATCCACTACCACAAGATAATGTGATCCATTTATCGGACTTTTGAAATCTATATGAAATCTTGACCATGGAGTATCTGTCCTTGGTCAATGTTGTAATTTCATGGTAAGTAAATTTGCTACCAGAGCACAACCTCTGTAGGCTTTTACTCTGGATTTCAAACAAAAAAAATGTTTGGAGAAATTTTGCTCACACCTCATATTAGGACTCTTTTCTGCTGCTATTTATCAACAGACAATTTTTCATGCAGTTCATCCAATCTCAAATTTAATTTTCTTCAAAAATTTCATTGCTGAAAATTGTGAAAATAAAGTTGCCCAGTATGCTGTAACTCCAAGTAATGATCAATAAAACCACTTTATTTCTGACAACATCAGCTTCCGATTTGATAGGATGATCCTTTCTATAAAATGCTGTGCATTAATGTGTATGTTTCTCCATTTTCTAAAATGTTTTATTTTTCTTCCTTTTATATTCTGTTCTTCCGTGATATTTGATGAGATTCATTGAAAGAAATTAAATAGGGTTTTGTAACAGAAGAACTAAGACTTGAGTCATTTTTTTTTTTCTAAGTCTGATTTATAACTGAAAGAGCTGATGGTATCACACGAGATCTTCAATCCACAGTAATAAAGACAAACAAAATTACTTGCATTAACATGTTACTCACTCTTTTACAATGTCAGGAATCATGTGAAATTTGATTGAAGTTGGAAATATTTTTAAAAAATGAAAATAAAAGGTAAATAAAAAGCATCCATATTCCCAATAGAAACAAGAATGTCTTCTGCAGGAGGCAACTAAAAGCCTTTTCTTGTTTTAGTATAAATCCATAACTGCTGCTCTTAAATAAAATTCTCTTTACACTAACTTCTATTAATATATTAATCCCTTGAAAATTTTGTTATTTTCCTTCAGTCTCAAACTATGTTTTCATCATCATCATCATCATCATCATCATTAGTGCCATGACTGATTGTGGTTGTAAGCTGAGTATCTTGCCAGTTCCCTTCAGATATCTGGATTGAAAGCTTGAAAAGTATACATTCAGGCATAGCATATCTTGGGTATTTTGATTTGATAGAGTTTATCTTACTCCAGCTTAGGTCTTCCAACTTGAAGGCAGAAAAGTGATTTTATTTTTACTGTTGTAATTACCCTTCCCAACTCCTTACAGACAATTGTAAATATGGGGACTAGTTATGATTTCATAGACAATTTGTAGCATTGTGGTGATTATAGTAAGAATGGTAATCATGAGACAAAGTGGAAAATTTTATTAACAACACATTTCACCCAGAGAGTGTATGCTCTCTTTAGCTTTCTTGGGTTAAATTTTATGGTCCATTTTAACCTGAGGAAGCCAAAGAGACCATACACTCTCCAATGAAATTTACCATTAATAAAATTTTCCACTTTGTCTCATCATCTTAAATTTCATTTTGGATACTGTTATACATCCTACAAACACACATAAGAATGGTAAATAAAGAAGAGTTTAGCATTTGATTGAGTCAGTGATTGTAACTAGTTGGTGAGACAGAGATAGAGAAATAGAGAGAGAAAGAAATGAATTAGTATTTTTTAAGCTACTATGTAAAGTTGTCCACATGATACTTTTTCCTGTTTACCTTTACACAATGAGATGCTGATATGATATAGGGGAAATGATATCACCCCCCTTCATATTAATTTATTCTGTTGTTAACTGTCAAAACAACAAGTTATTTATTTTTGTCAAGTCTACTTACCTTTGTAATTTCATATAAAAAGTAATTTTTTAATCATTTCACCATAAACAATTTGATAAAAGCCACTAACAAGGGGTTAGTGAAAGTGAAAGAAACATAGAGGACAATAAAAGGATAGGTTTCAAGGAGACAGAAGTTGACAAGTGACATTACATTTAAGGTTGTAGTTGACAGGAAAGCATGAAGCCAGAAGAGAGTTCCACAAATGAAAAGTGAAGGAGAAACAATTAGAATTGAACTTATGGTTACAGCTAGCAATTTCAACAGTGAGTTTATGAAACCTAGCTGCTAATCTAATACTGCACTTTAATTCATAAAGTTGAAGTACCATAGAGAAAAGTTCATCAGAACAATCTTTGAAGCTGAGATACCTCGTCAGGATCAATAACATTGCAGATTCTTCTTTCGATTTTGTCAAGAATCTCTAGATATATAACAGAAGCACCAAATCAGATGTGGCAGCAAAATAGACAAATGGTAGACTTATAAATGTGCAAGATAGATCAGTTTTATTTCAGAGGCGTTAAAATTAACGTCATTTTTTAAACCAGTTAGCTACAGATTGAAAGTCTTTTTCAAGATCAACTGCCAGTTTAGTTTTATCAAACCTATCAGACTTAGTATTAAGACAGGAGTAAATATTTGTGCTATCCGCATAGATACCGAGTTGGCAAGTGATGATATTGGAAGCCAGAACCACCACAAAGTGAAACTTTGCCTTGAAACTAAAGCTAGTCCATCCAGTTTACAAAAAATCCCTACAAAGTGTCCCTCCCTCACCACTATTTTATTATATGCACACTTTATCTGATCAATCTCCTTTATGTATCTCCCCTTTTCTGAGTCCCCTATTTTTTTTATTAATGCTCTTAGTATTTGCTTAAGTCTGACTGACAAGTTAGGGCTTTTTAAAGTGTTTATATTCTGACAGATTTCACTTTAGCCATTATATCCTCTTCAGATTGGAAACACTGAATTAGTCCATTAAACACTTCAACTACTTCAGTGTATGGTACTGTTATAACAAATTTAGTACAGGAGATAAAGAAATTGAACATAGAATACTTTGTGCTTGGAGTAGTTTCACACAACACTGCACATTACTACAAAGCCAAAACATTACATCTAGGAATTCAAGTCATGTTCTTAAATAGCATTGGCAGATCAAGACCTTTAAATGGATGCCATACATGGAACCAAGCACATTCAGAAATATATAAACTATCAGCTATAACAACTGCTTTCTCAGATCAATGATTAAAAATGGCTTTGAGCTCATGAAGCCTGTCTTTCTTTGAAGCTTGTGGACTGATGCTACAGAATCACCAAGAAATGTACCAAATAACAGAAACCACATCACTTGAGGACTACCAACAACAACTAATTCCAAAAGATTTGGAAGAAAGCCCCCATGAAAACTGGAAAGAGTGATAATAGTGGATTTGGGAAACCTATTTTTCTGAAAAATTCTTTTAATAAGTAAGATTTTATGAAAAGTAGCACTGGATAATGAATGCCAAGTTCTTCCTCATAAATAAACCACTAATATTACCATATACATATATATATATATATATATATATATATATATATATATATATACACCATATCTGTGAAACTTCAGTTCAGAAGATGTCATCTGAACTTTTAGTTATTAAATCTCTCTCTTTCTCTCTCCTCTCTCTCTCCTCTCTCTCTCTCTCTCTCTCTCTCTCTCTCTATATATATATATATATATATATATATATATATATATATTGTAGATTTTCTGTTCAGTTTTTCTTGTGTCCTCAGAATTTACTTTTTTTCTGAGTATATGAAGAAATAGTCATAGTATTACTACTTTGTAGTAATATTATATATTAATCCAACTACTTTGGATTAATATATAATCCATTTTCAGGTGTGGAGGTTAATTTTTGTGATAATGAAGAGTGTTAATTG